TTTTTTTTTTTTTTTTTTGGTCAAAAAAGTCACTTTTTGGGGGGAGGTGGGGGAGGGGCTTCTCCCCCTGCCCCTCCCCCCGGCTTCAAAACGGGGCGAAAAACGCCCCTTTCGGGGCCCCCCCCCCCGCCCCCCCCCCCGGGTTCAAAACGGGGCGAAAAACGCCCCTTTCGGGGCCCCCCCCCCCGCCCCCCCCCCCGGGTTCAAAACGGGGCGAAAAACGCCCCTTTCGGGGCCCCCCCCCCCGCCCCCCCCCCCGGGTTCAAAACGGGGCGAAAAACGCCCCTTTCGGGGCCCCCCCCCCCGCCCCCCCCCCCGGGTTCAAAACGGGGCGAAAAACGCCCCTTTCGGGGCCCCCCCCCCCGCCCCCCCCCCCGGGTTCAAAACGGGGCGAAAAACGCCCCTTTCGGGGCCCCCCCCCCCGCCCCCCCCCCCGGGTTCAAAACGGGGCGAAAAACGCCCCTTTCGGGGCCCCCCCCCCCCCCAGCAGCAGCGGCGCCGCCCCCGCCTCAATTCCCGGGAGGGGCCGGGGGGTCCCAGCGCCGGCCAGGGCTGCGGAGAGAGGGGAGGGGGCGTCAGGGGGACCCCGAAACCCGGCTGGGACCCCCCAAAATCCGTCTGGGACCCCCCAAAATCCATCTGGGACCCCCCAAAATTATGTGGGACCCCCCAAAATCCATCTGGGAACCCCTAAAATCCATCTGGGAACCCCAAAATCCATCTGGGACCCCCCAAAATCCATCTGGGAACCCCAAAATCCATCTGGGACCCCCCCGAAAATCCCTCCAGGACCCCCAGAACAGCCCCTCCCCCCCCCACAAAGGACCCCAGACCCATTTGGGGGGAGGGGCAGCAAAAGCGCGGGTGGGGGAGGGGCACGGAGCTGTCAATCACACCTGTCAATCACACCTGTCAATCACACCTGTCAATCACTCACAACTGTCAATCACACCTGTCAATCAATCACATCTGTCAATCACTCACAACTGTCAATCACACCTGTCAATCAGTCACACCTGTCAATCAGTCACACCTGTCAATCACAACTGTCAATCACAACTGTCAATCACAACTGTCAATCACACCTGTCAATCAATCACACCTGTCAATCACTCACACATGTCAATCACACCTGTCAATCAATCCCACCTGTCAATCAATACCACCTGTCAATCACACCTGTCAATCAATCCCACCTGTCAATCAATCCCACCTGCCAATCAATCCCACCTGTCAATCAATCCCACCTGTCAATCAATCACCCCTCACCTTGGATGGTGGCCAGGGGGGCGGGGCCCAGCAGCCCCCCCAGCACCGCCCCCCTGCAAAGCAAAGCGGGGGGAGGGGTCACGGCGCGGTGGGGGGGAGGGGGCGGGGTCACCCTCGCCCCTCCCCCCCCTCCCCCCTCCCCCCACCCTCGCCCCTCCCCCACCCCCCCCCCCAAAACTCACCCGGAGCCGAGGCCGAGGGGGGAGGGGGCGGCGCCGGGGGGGGGCGGCGGGGGGGAGGGGCGGGCGGGGGGGCCCGAGGCGGCGGCCGAGGACAGTGACGTCACTGGGGGGGGGGAGGGGACACGGGTCAGGGGCTTGGAAATTCCCGAAATCCCCTGGAAATTCCCGAAATTCCCTTTGAAATTCCAGAAATTTCCTTAAAATTCCCGAAATTCCCTCAAAATTCCTCAAATCCCCCTTAAAACAGCCCAAATTCCCTTAAAACCACCCCAAATTCCCTCAAAATTCCCGAAATCCCTTTGAAATTCCAGAAATTCCCTTTGAAATTCCCGAAATTCCCTTGAAATTCCCCAAATCCCTTTGAAATTCCAGAAACTCCCTTAAAATTCCTGGAATCCCCCTTAAAACAGCCAAAATTCCCAAAAATCCTCTTTAAGCATCCCAAATTCCATTGAAATTCCCAAAAATCCTCTTTAAGCATCCCAAATTCCATTGAAATTCCCAAAAATCTTCTTTAAACACCCCAGATTCCCATAAAATTCCCCAAAATCCCCCCAAAAATTCCCCAAATCCTCCCTTAAAACAACCAAAATTCCCTTAAAACCGCCCCGAATCCCCCCAGAATTCCCGAAATCCCCCGAATCCCCTCGGAACCTTCCCGAATTTCCCCTCCCCCACGGAATTTTGGGGTTATTTTTTGGGATTTGGGGGTCCCGGGCTCACCTGAGGTGCTGAGGCTGCCGGGGGCGGGGAGGCCGAGGGTGGGGCCGGGCGGGGTCACCTGGGGGGACACAGGGGGAGTTTGGGGGGATTTTGGGGGGATTTTGGGGAGTTTGGGGACATTTGGGGACATTTGGGGGATTTTGGGGGACAGTGGCAGAGCCCTGTAGGGACAGGGGGGGTGGGATCATGTGGGGACAGTGACCCCAGAATGACCCTGAGTGACCCCTGAGTGACCCCTGAGTGACCCTGAGTGACCCCTGAGTGACCCCGAGTGACCCCTGAGTGACCCCTGAGTGACCCCTGAGTGACCCTGAGTGACCCC